ACCCCTCCTTTAACTGTTAAAAAACAAATCATTGTCCAACTTTCCCATTCATACTTGAAACTAACAAAAAACACAAACAACATTAAAGAGAAAATAAGTGTCCTTTTACCAAACATAGAACTGAACAAGTTATAATTACTTATGTAGACCAAGGTCATGTACTATTACCACACGAAATAATTGCATTATCCCTTAGGAAAGAAATTTCTCAATTCTAAAAAGTACTAATCAAAAGACCTGTCATTATTTAATACTTTATCCCACACTCTTTGTTCTCCATAATCTCCTAATATATGATGATGATGAAGATTTATTTTAGTTACCTAGTAACTTCCTCTCGGCATCTGTTCGTGCATTTCTCTCTAGTTTTAATTCCTGGGAGAGAGCCTCCGTGCTTGGGTAACTGTATTTGCTGGCTATTTTGGCATCTGTGGAGAGAGAAAACCTAACTTGTTTTGATGACAGATACACCATGGTGTAGGATCCATTACAAATGTGGGGCTCTTCACTAAATAAATGTGCACATAATTTTTTTCTTCCCCGTAAATCATAGCTATTAATAAGCAAGTTAATGACAACAATTGGTCATTCTTGCCCAGACAGATGGCGAATACATAATGACCACTGGCAACGATCATAATTACACAATCAAAGTGTATAAATCCCATTCTAAAAGAGCTTTTAAAAAATCTACGTTTCAGCAATTAACCAGCTTTTCTCCCCTCCCATGGTCAATTAGAGAACCCCACTGATTACAACTTCAATTGTAATGCAAATAAATACCAGAAAGAACAGTTTTACATTTCAGCGACTTGTCATTATAAATAAAATCCTTTTTTTTTTTAAAAAAAAACCTTGATTATAGTCATTTCATGTAAAATGTGATTATTAGCCTGGACACAACTTAATATAGTCACACATCATAATTATTATAATTATAATCATCATAACAATAATTAAATTATTGAATTATGTGATTGGTGTGTATTTGATTTACAGGAAACTGGAAAATATATATGAAGTATAGTACCTACCGTTGATTACTCGCAATGCTTCTACAGTGTTTGGTTTTATTACGCTGCTGTCTGTCTGACTGCGAGTTTTTTGTTCTACTTCTAACTGTTCTTGAAGTTTTCTTTTCGCTTTTTTCTCTTTCTTCAGCCTCTTTTGAATGATTGCTAAACAGAGGGAAATAAGTTATAAGATTATCAATCGCAGTCAAAATGGCCATTTTGTTTACGTTGTTAATCAACACATGAAAAATGCCTTTTTTGCTTTTTTTAGCACACTATTTTAACTATAAACCAAAATTAAAAATTAAAATTATGAAGAAGAAAAATTTGAGATCTAAGATAAATTGTGCCGGCAAATGATCATGCAGGAATTCAATTGTGATCTAGTAGACACAGTAATGATTTTGATTTTGCGATGCAGATAAATAATACAAAATGAGAGAAAAGGAAAAAAAAAATCAAACTGTTGCAAGGACCTTATTTATAACTTTAATGATGTAGTTACCTCTGGTTTTCTGTTCTGCCACTAATTGTTTTTCAAGAGCTTCTCTCAACTCCTTTTCTCGAAGTAGTTCCATTTTCAGTTCAGCTAGAAAGATGATACAAAGCAGGAATAATATTAACATAAACAAAAATCACATTCAAAACATCAATACAGAATTATTTTAGCTTTATGTGTTTTCATTTTTGTGCAATCAGAAATGACCAATCACAGAGTAATGTTCATTTCAAACTTACCAATCACAGACCAATAATCATTAACCAATCAGAAGCATGCACAAATTGGCCAAGTAAGAAAAGCCAGGAAGGAAAAAAATAAGGACAAAATGTAACAATTGAAAACATTTATAAAATTTGAACTACGGTACATATAAAACAGTCACTTTTGGTTAATCTCACTTTTTTTTAAAGATAATCATGACAGGAAATATTCCAATATGACAAATTATTGCAGGTTTCACTCAAATTCATTGGATATTATTTTAAACGTACTTTTCAACTTTGACATTCGCATATGACATCGTCAATCTACTTTCAAAATCCTGAGATTCAAAAGACTTGAGTGTTTCTTTATCTCTCGGTTTAAGTGGCACAATGGGCATAAATTTGATTAAAGCGCGTAAATTGAAATCTGCCATAAATTATCAATGTTTCACAGCAAATCTTTAATAAACACTGCATTTTGCAATTTCCTTTCTCTTACGGGAATAAAATTACTCTCATTGCAAGACAATGGAGGATGATCATTCATTGAGTTCGACAGGAAGTCGCCCTACACGTTTCCGAAACATAAGTTCAATTGTGAATGAAGTCAACTTGTGCATAAATAATGATCCGTCTTTCACAACGATTTCATATTTATCAACAGGAAACCATTGCTCTACAATAATTCCTTTTTTTTTGTCATCAACAATAGAGGTACGTTGCGTGTAAACCTCCGAAGGATACGGTATAGAAAAATGTGTTTTTATTTCGTCAGGAAAACATCACAGTTTATACAAATGTATTGAATTAACAGGAAATTTGTGCTCAACTATGTACGCACGTTATCGCAACGTTCAACTGCTTGAGCAAATAAAGAAAGAAAGAACTAAAGTAATAATTTCAAAAAAAAAATTATAAAACAATATTTTGTTTATTTTTTTCAATCAGCCAGAACTTTGAAAAAAAAAGACTGATAGATACACTCTATATCATAGAGCATCAAGCCTTTTCACCACTATTATAAACTTTTGTAACCATCCACCTTATAGTTTAGTACAAAATTTGTACCACAAATTGATTACAAACTCAGACAACTACATTTTGTAGGTTCCAAATTTAGGAAATAACTGTCTGTTTGGTTGGAGAAAGTGACATGGATAGCAAAGCCGTAGAAAGATGCAAGACTGAGTTTTACATTTTTCAAATTTCTTCATAAAAAATTTACTTGTTCTTCACAGGTATGGATTTTAACAATCTTAGACTGAAAACCGTGTTTAATTTGGGCAGGAATTAGATTTCCATGAATCTGGGAAAACTATCAAATTTTGCAGAGAAAATACCATGTTTATTAATATTACTCATGTGAACAACCTCAAACCAGAACAATCGTCATCAGTCGATAGTTTACATTTTAGTTACAATTGAATATGATTTCATTTTCAATCCTCCTTCGTCATTTAGTCTTTTAATAAGACCCCTGAACTTAGAGAGAAGACAAGAATTGATTCAATAAAAAATTTAGTCCCTTTCCAGGACTCTATAAATTCAAATTTAATGCCTGGAGAACAAAACAAGAAATATGAAGGGCTAGAGCGCAACAAAATAAACTATTTAACAGACTATGATTTTTTTTTTACTGCAGAGTTAAAAACTATAAATATTTCATCTTTAATCCTGCATTTGTAATGACCTTTACGAAACAGATGTATTATGAGAGAGATGTGACCAACAAGGGGTGATCAGGCATTGATATGGCCTCAGGAAAAGTATAAATCTGTGGTCTCTACAGAGATAAGAAGCTGAGACACCCAACAGCCGTTTTGCATTTGACATTTTCTTTAATGTTTTGAAATCATTAGTTATATTTCTGCTAATGTTGTTTTTGTCATTATTATTTTTAGAATAGTGTAGAATCAAACTGGACTAGACTAGAATAGAATTAGACTTGATTGGAAATGGGTTTGAATAGAATAGAATAGAATACCTTTTTCTAAGTTGATCTGTTTTTCTTGTTGTCTGGCATTATCAGCCGCTACTTTAAGCAAGCCCTGAATGTTTGTTAGCAACGTTTCAATAGATGATGTGTTTTCGGGAATATTATACAACGCCGCCGCCGTTTGATTGTAATTCAATCCGTTACCAATACTGGATATTTTCTCTGACTCTGTGGAATGCTGATGATAGTGATGGTGGTGGTCGCGCTGGTCTGTTGAATTTCGTTTGTTGTCTGAAGAAGAAGAAAAAAACAAAAAAATGGGACATGTGCAAGTTAAAGACAATGTATGTTGCCATGGAAACCCATTACCCCCCACCCTTTTCTGCTCTACCTCCTACCTTATTACATTTAAGGTGAGGAGAATGTTTATTGCCATGGAAATACAATCATGTGAGTCTCCATCTACCTCTATCCGTTTCCTCAATAATAATAATCAATAATAATTATGGGACAATTTTGTTGTGCTGAAATACTGACAAAACTTTCCCCATTTTCATAAGGTTATTCTGCCTGGTTTCTAAATAACATTATGAATGATATGATTTGAACCAAATTGATCCTTTTTTCATTAAGTTCTCCATCGTGTCTGGGACCAACATCACTCCAGGACATAAAGTAAAACTGTATGATTTAGTTCAAAAATAAATTACTCAACATTAAAAGAAATCAAGCACATCAATCTGAAATTTCCTGCAAAACCACTAGTTTGTAAAAACACCCCAAGGTATTCAATACTGCATACAATAGCATACATCTGAAAACAGTAAATGTGATTCGCCTCAGGCTAAGAAAACCATCAGAACTTGTAACTAATTCGGAATAAGCAAAATAAATAAATGTATTCATGAATAAGTTTTTCATCCGAGGTTTACATTTATACACGTACACATGTACAATAAATTAAATGAAAGGCACACTGAATACTAGTAAATGAGAGAATAAAAAAATATATAACCATATTATAAAGAATTTGAACATCCTGTGCAATTGTAGAAACTTTCCATTATTTTTTCATTTCTGATTTCCTCTCTGCCTGAAGCTAATCGCTAAGGGCAACCATTTTATTTACAATCTTCATCAGTTACTATTTCCTTAGGATCTCTATTAAATACTACATTTAAGTTCATAATGTATCGTGCAAATGAGAAAAATTGGCTCCAAATAATACAAAAAAAAAATCCATGAATAGCAGCGATTGAATACCGATTGGTTGAAATGCACACCAGTGAAAAGATGGTATCCAGTTCCTAAGTATCGGATACAAAGAAAGCAATTTTCCTTCCCTATATGAATTTGCTACCAATAATGGATGAGTAATGCCCAATTTAGTTATTTTATTTGTGTGTGTGTTGGAAAATGATGAATTTTGAAATTGTAGGAAATTATTCATAAAAACCTTTTAATGGAATTGTGAGGTGCGCTTGTCAAAAGCAAAATGAAATAAGTGATTTCTCTTGCGGAATCTATAGAATTGATGTTTAAAAAAAAAAAAATGTTTTTCTTTACCTGAATCTTTGTGTGATTTTACATCTGTGTGTCTTTCATGTTCTTTTTCTGCCTCCTTTCTGGGCGGTGAGCACTGTTGTTCTTTCGGTCTATCAATCCCAGAACGTGGTGAGCTAAGGTCACTGCTGCTTGGAGATTTATCACTTTTTGCCGATGTCCCATCAGATTTTGCGGTCGTGTTGACAGAGAGTGAAATGGGTTCGTCATGTCGATGGCTGGCATGCATACTAGAGTGGCTGGTTACCATGGCGAGAGATGTGGGCATCATACTTGGGTGGGTGGTAAGAAGGTATGGAGATAGGTATCCATTAGGGATACCAACTGTTTTCCCATCTCGGAGTCCTAGAGGTGAAAAACCGGAGAAATCTATGCAGGAGTTAGTCTGCCCTCTTAGTACTGGAAAAACTTGGCACTACTTTGAAACTATTTCGCAACAAATAGTAATGTTCAGAAAATAGTCCCAATAATTTTTGTCTGCATATCATGAAAAACTAACCCTGTTTGATCTAAAATGATCATCAACGTGTAGGAACAAGAGAAACCATTGAAAAAAACTGGCGAACCATTTTTAAGAACCGTTTTAATATGTTGAATGTGGGAATCAAGGCTTACAAAGCACAAAGATATACGTGTCCACTCTTCACACTGAATCAATATGTTTTATGCTCTTTCTACCAGAACTATGACAACCCTGCGTGAATACTTTACAGACTCAGCTTTGCACAAATGTTTGCGCTAGAAGAAAACTGTGTTTGTTGTACGTTTGATGCTTCGTCATTAAATCTAGCGTCTAGAGACGTTCGTTTTCATCAATAAGTAGTATTTATTTAAGAAGCAAAAAGCACAAAAGTCTCAATAAATGATATTGTGATTATAATTTTTTTTTGGGAATATTTAATTACTTAATATAAATATTAGATACACAGTGACTAACAATAAAAACCTCCATCCCACAAATCATAAAAGCTCCAAGCTGATCAAACGCAATATACTATAACAGATGCAAACAAATTCGTGATACAGAACATTGTACCATGAAATCTGACATTCCCCTTTGTATTAACGCAATCAAAATTAAAAATTTACATCTACAGATGAGAAAAAACACATCATTAAAAATCCTGCATCAGTTGCCATGGAAACAACCCTCGTCCCCTTTTTCTGTTAACATTTTGCCTATACTACTTAGTGAGGAAAAATTGCAAATTAATTTACAAATAATTAACCCATTTCAATTAGATTCTGTTATAAACTATTGTATTACGTTGTAGCCGCCATGCACGTAACACCTGGGTAGAACGAGGGGCATTATATGTACAATTGTTATGAGAAACTGTGGCAAAACAATGGATTTGGCACGGATGTAACTGGAGGTGTAACTCAAGTGCGATAAATACAGTCGCTATGAAAATTATGTGTGACCTTTGGGAGATATAAGTACACTGATTATGTAAATACAGTTGTGGTAACAGTTGGAGAACTCACAAATGTGTCATAGATCCAATTTCTATTATACGTTGATGCGACAAAATAATTTAAAAGACTAATTTAAGACGTATTGATCTGTTGTTGTTTATATGAGTTGTTATTGTGAGGAAGACCAGTGCAGGCCAATGTTGGTTTAAAGCAATAACTGGAAACAGCAAATTTAAGTTATTCATGTAAACTGGTAGGAAATGATGATGAAGATGTCTTAAAATAATTAAAAGCAACACCTTACTTCATATCCCAAGCTACCAGACAAAGAGATGAAAAAAAAAATCCTCAAAACGAATTGGACTTTACTTGATAACGTCAATTGAACAAATATTTCAGGGACATTTTGGAAATGTGCGTAACTGTAAGATTATTTCATAAACATATATTTCAATCAGATTAAGCAATTGCGATGCATTGAATATGACCACTGTTGCACGAAGCCACAGCTTGTAATACGTTCATGTATAACTAATAGAGCACTATGGTGTGTCGCAGCCGCTCAGTGTTGCCCTCTCTCTCTTTTTAATAATAGCTTAGAGAGCTTTACACAGTTACTACAAGTATACACCGTAACCTTTGAACTACGTCCACTCCTACAGTCTATTCTTCATCATTATATTTGCCAATAAGGTAATAAGATATACCAGTCACAAAATTAGCCACAGAAATCAACATTTAAACTCCGCTCCCAGCTGTTACAACTGAGAGTAATTTGCACTGCATGTGATAGGCTACGGCAGGCAAATTAGATTTGGAGCTCTTCAGGGCACAGGTTTCCAGTTTCTCGGATTGGATATCAAGACTATCACCAAGTTAAACAGGGACTCAATCATTTTATTACCAGTGTGTACTCTGTAACTGCTATCAATTGAATGCCAACTCGACAGCATGCATACCATACGCTTATATCTTATATCGTATATCGGCACAGGGCGGCTTCAAAGTCGTGGAATATTTTTCTAGCTCAGTGAATTTGTAATAACTGAGGGGAAAAACATGGTTAGAAGTCTGCAGCCGAATAATTAGGTTAGGTGCCAATTATTTCGCTAAATTGCCATGAAACCGTTGCTTAAAAGAAAGCGGCTTTACACATATAGGTTACAAGTTATCAGTGTGCTTTCCTGCTGTATCCTACCAGACACAAAAAAAAACCATTCAGTTTAAGATATATCACAGAAATTTGTTAATTAAATGTTTTATTTTCCAATTATCTAATCTTTTCACCCCAACAGCAGGGCCTTTATTAGTCACTAATCCTTTCAATTTAAAAAAAAAATATTTCAGCCTGTGCATTTCACTGGAGAAATTCACATATATTTTGGATTATGAACTCTAAGTACATTGTTCACTTCAATAATCAACTATAGAAACCAGAATTTTTAATCAAAAACAGATATTCAGAGACTACACTGGTACCATTTTGACACGGTGCATACAGAATAATTAATTAGATGACAACATTAGAAGATAATAGAGATGTTTTCTAACGTATATGACGAGATAAATTACAAATTTTTTTTTTTTTTTCTTCAAAGTATGGGGCGAGTTTAAAAGTGCAAATTTAGTTGTTTACCTAACAGCATAATCTTGGCATTGTCTGCATCAAAAGTGTGTTTACACATATAAAAATAATAATAATATTAAAATAATAATCGCAAATGTTTAGATTTCCTATTTATATTACAGAAGAATTTTGTTGACATAGTATCTACTCTCCCTATGTTGTAAAGAAAACATGGCCGACACAATGAGAACAAGAAAAGAAAAAACAGCTGAGAATAAACACTTGTCAAAAGACTCAAAACTGAAGAAGTCTGTCTGTTTGACTGCAAGTGTTACTGAAGCTTTCAAAATAGGAAACAAATGTATGTTTAAGTTGGATAAAAGGTCAAGTGCATGAGGGAGCTTATTTTTATTCACCAAATGTTTACAATGGTTTTGTAAAATGTCATTAACAGACTAGGTTACTCCAGGGAACTTCTTTTCCATTAACTGATATGTTACTTGCTCTCCAATACAACAATGTATGGTTATCTTTTTGTTTTCCAAAAAAAAAACTTTTAACACAAAAATGTATGTGCATTGTTTTTTTTCAAGAAAATTTAAAAATAAATTTTTTAATTTTTTGTTGTTGGAAAATATACTTTCACAAAAATTTGTAAATTGTTTTACTACCTAATCATTCATTGAATATGGACTTGATTTTTAACATTGTCGTAACATGTCAGTCAATCTGAACTAACAAAAACTAGAAATTAGCAAATACTATCCCAGCATGCAACTACATTGGAATGTGACTTATTTTAGATTTATGAATAAACACAGATATCATCAATCATTGACAAGTTAATTAGACACCCTAGATCAACGGTTTTTAATAATCTTAAACTTGAGAGGTTTTACTTTCAATAAAATGTGACCTAATTTAAGTCGTATCACTAATCCCTCACGAATCAACAATTCTACAAAAAATTCTTTATTTTATTGTTTGTTTCATCATTAACTCTTCAACATCTTAAATAACAGAATAACAACAACAGTTGTCATGGATATAGTAATGAAACAAAAAAGTTGTATATGAGTTGAATACGCTGTGTTCTTGTCCAGACAAATATGATTCTTTCATTTCGGCTATAGCGCAAGTCTACAATGTCTTCCAATTTGTAGCAAAAGCAGCATGAATTTTAAAGTGTATTAAATAATATAAATAATAATCAGTAACCATCGAATTGGGAATGCAACCAATAAAACACAAGAAAAAAACACAAAACTTTGTTCATGTTCATGAAAATTAATATTCTTGAACTGCACTTAATAATATCAAAAATTCATCCAAATTCCTCGCATCTCTGCTTTTAAAAGTCATTAAACATTTATTGTGATCAAACAGTCTGATTAGAAAACAAACCCATGTTATTGTGACCATTAATGTTTTTATAGCAGTCGCCGCAGCCAGGCATTTTTTTAGTATTCTGACCACACACAAGGAACAACCAGCATTAAAATTGACGAAAATATTTATCAATGTCCAACAAAAATGCCAGAATGGAAATAAAAAATCAAAATTTATTTGGGTTTACACAATGTTTCTATTGATACAAGTTGAGATTTATGACAGAGCGCTGACGTTTTATTACAATTTCAGATTATTTGCCAAGCTGACAAAACAAACCGTATTGTATATCTGTCAAAATTATTATCGAAAACTACTTTCAATAAATACAACTCTCGACAGGTGAATGTGTCATAAAACTCTTTCTCAAGAGCTGTCTGCAAAATTGTGCAAACAACATGGATTAAAAGGTCTGTATTTGTCAGCAAGTACATATACGATCATTTTATTTATTTTTATTCGAGCTAAACAATAAGACAAAAATATTCAATATTTAGTTACATGTACGTTTTTCCCAATATTACAAATGTAAAATAGGAGAAAATTATTTTAAGAATACAAGCTTTTCGCTTTCATTAAAATTTCTACACAAATTTTAGATTATAATTAAAATAGTCTAATACTGTTACTGGGGATATGAAATTGCCTTTGATCACTCGCCAAGCTGTTCATTTGAAACCTGTCCAGGGAAGATTAAGCATTAAGCTAAGGTGGATTCAAGTGAAATGACAAAAGCAAGGTGACAGGTACCAAGCAAACATGTCTATCTACTTGTAATAAGTTTGTAGAGAAACGGACCCTGCCCTTCTGACCTGTGAACTTTTGACTTTCACTCGTATTAAAGTCAACACTAAGAGAAAGCAGAGATTGATATTAGACAAATTTTATAACATGTCATTATTGTTTAATTTACAAGTTTTATCAATAAATATTGGGGGGGGGGGGGTTTAAAGTGATAATTCATGTTAAGACCGAAATGTGGCTAGATTTCTCACAAACTCTACCCCAAAATTGTCAACCATATTTTGATGGTTTTATGTATACACCAAAATGTGCTATTACAAATAGCACTAACTCTCTATTACAAATATATATTAACTACTTAATGTTCTTAGCATTCTAGTTAGAATAGCGTGTCATCCAAATATTTATTATTTCAAATTGAAACGTATGGCCACGAAGTGTACCTACCAGCATTTTTCATATTCCATAATGAATTCTATTCTTGCACAATAAAAGATGGGTGCATGGATAAACAACGGCAATATAAACATGAATTAAACATTTTTAGGTTTTCATTACAATTATTTAAAGAATATTAGCGTTTTCGTATTTTTATTTGTGTTGAAATTCTATACATTTGCTTGTTTTGTTTTTTTTCAAAGTAAATTTCACACATCATCGCAATATATGTAGCTTCATCTGTTGCAGATTTCTCTCATCAGCAACAATTTCATCTTTATCATAGAATCTTTACAAACGGATATCACAATTTGGTCCCTCCAACATTTCCTACCTTACACCCCTATAAATAGGTATTTGCATGGTTTGGATGCAGTATTTAACACAGAACAGCATCATCTATCAATGGTTATTAGAGGGATGATTAGGTCAACATGACACTGTAAACTAGAAACGAAATCCTGTGTAATTACAGATGTAGATAATATTGCTCAGTTCAGGTAATTACAAAGATGACAATCTGAGCGCATTAACAGCGAGAGGAAATTAACTACCACTGCGGCTCCAGCTGCAGAATGAAAGAACTTAATCAATATTTTTAAAAATGCCTAACGGACAAATTCATTAAATTAAAATCAGCATTTCTGTGTTTCCATGGAATGCTAAAAAAAAAAAAGAAAAACAAGAGACAAGGAGAAAACAACTCACCTATGCCGTTTGTTAAGCAACCGTTCTCTATTTTGGGTTTTTTCAATAGGAAATGGCCCGAGGGTGACAGACCTGGGGGAGGCAGTGTTCGCTTTGGTGGTCTCCCAGGGCGACTGCTGCCGAGAGATAAAAAAGAAAATGTTAGTACAACAATTTTGTCGAATTTCAGTCCACTTCATGCCTAATTGGAGATTCTAATAAGATGAATTTCATGTTTTCTTATCAAAAGATGACACTCCTGATAACAAACACTGTTACAACACAAAGACGATGCGAATAGTGATGAGAGAGGTCGACACGATAGTTGGCACAACAAATAGTAGGCACAATAAACAGTTACCCAATCAGGGCGGGGTAAACTGCACATAACCAAAAAATAAAATAAAATCAAACTGTTTCAGAATTCAGTCATCAAAGATACGAGACAAAACAACAAAATAAAACATTGACAAATTATTTTTTCAAATTCAAGGCAAACATTCAATAAATACTCAAGAAAGACGCATTTCAGGTGCACGCTACTACCCACAATGCAATGCAGTTAATAAACTCGTATTGATGACTACAGATGTTATGCAAATATCAAGACTGCGACAATTGACCGTGAAAATTTTATGAAATCAGACTCATTACTGATCTGATACATGTATATACAATACTTGACGAAATAGTTGGGTCAAACAGTTTAGACGATAATCCTCTTGTTTGTAGCTACCCCGGTATACAAAATCAGTATTTTACAAGAAACTGAAAGATGCTTGTCACATTTTTCACATTTTGCTGGAGCTCCACCTGTTACCATAGTAATGGCAATGATGCACTTCAACCTGGCAGCAACTTTGAATCAAAAAAGTCAAAATCTAAATAATTTTGATACTTTTGTGTTTATTTTAATTTTTGTGAGTTTTTTTATTTTTATGTTGATATAAAATATATTGAATATATGAAACGTAAGTATGTTTAATTTATATGTGTCCGTTCGTGCAGATCTTAAAATTTAACATTTCAACGGTAACAGAACAGTCCTGCATCAAAGAAATATGGCAACAGTGTATGTCTGACTTGCCTCCTATTTCAGAGCTTCTTGTTCATTTAAACTTACGAAGGCAAAACAATAAATGAGCCACAGCGTAATTTATACGTTTACTTTACTTTACTTGTCTTGAATTAATCATGATGAATCTAAAAATATAGTCTAATATGATGCACTTAAATTTTAACTTTTAATAAATCCCCCCCCCCCAAATTGAGTGATGTTACAGTTTCAATTCACTCGTCTTGACAGATCACCAAAACGATTGTCTATTTCATCTTTAGGTGCTCGCAATACATATCTCATTCTCCAAATCTTCTATAAACAATTTTGAAAATGTCATTTTTTAAAATTAAGAATGATATCCATCATTAGAGCTTAATGGTACATGTTCCATAAAGATAATGCCGGAATAAAACCACAATGTTGCAGAATCATTACGCCATTTTATTATGATTTTCTCTATTATTTTGTTATCGTAATAATTTAATAAACAATAAATCTTCTTTTCTTTACTGACAATGAAACCGCGTCTAATAAATGACATGTAGCCATATTAAATAAATAAATCATGGAAAAAAAATAGGGCTGTGGGAAACTGACATAGGTCTTTTATTTTACATAATTGTCAAGATTCAGGGGAGAGAAGAAATGTATAAAGTGCCTTTATAATCGGGCAATTTTTTTTTTGAAAACAGACACTTTAATTTTAATAACTAAGAAAAAGTGTAACAAATGATAGTATCTCCTCACTGTTGTTGTGCATAATTATAAAATCGATACCTGAAATATCTACAATTAAATAAAAATGACAAAAACACTCATTTACACTTACACTATATATATATATATATATATTTTTATAATATAACTGAAAAAGCATGTGAGAAGCACTACGGAATGGAAACTATTTCACGCACTTGTCTTGCACACTCCACTTGCTCCTATATCTCATAGTTAAAGTACCCATTCCCTATGGGAATACTACAATCAACTAAAGTTTATTCCATCCTCATACATTAAGACTATACCACAATAGCACAGGGGTGAGAAGGTCATATGCATAACCTGAGGGGCAGCACATCACAGCGCAAACATAGTATTCCGACAATTAAAAAAATACTTCAACAATTAAGTAAAATAATTTGAAAAATAATATATGCACACTAACAAAGTAATATTAAAAGCACTGATGAAAAAAAAATATTCAAACGATCTCAATTCACTATTCGTCAACACACTCCATCATGTAATGAATCGGTTTAATTAACTTTTCTTTAGGTCAAGTACAATTTCAATGTCTCATTTCGATCACTTGAAAGCAACTCATTTTACTAGATAAAACATCTTAATTGAACTTATTCTTGACCTCCCAAAAAAAAAAAAAAAAACATTAAAAGTAAATGATCTGAGTTTTAAACTAAAACATCCTCTAATCAATATTTTTTTTCTATTGATTGGTAAAAAAAAACCTCACAATGAAATTCAACAACTGAAGTATACACTACATAGTGATTAATTTCATTTTTTCCATTTCCCACGAGACTGTCCTATTTCTGTCTAAATTCCACCACTTAAACAAAGCCAGCACATCCTTAGTCTTCTGGGTACTTATATATTTTTAATCTAAAATATCATTATTGATATGTCACGATAATCTCTGAACTGAATATGCATTTACGTAGCGTTATTGTATGGCCGGTAATAAACAGTGCACCAATAAATATTATTGACCTTTTTGTTAGCATACATTTTCTTTTTGAATTCTTTGTTGCTATTTTCCTTACACTTTTTATAGCATACTTAACGTTTAGTTGAAATCAACTGAACACCATTATTGGGGTCCATTGATGGGTTTTATTAGAAAAGCCAAAGTGATAATAATTTCTGTTTTCTCAAGTTATTCTCTTTTCTCTCAGTGCAGAACATTTGTAAACACCTAGAACACAATCAATGGATTTGGTTCAATAAACATATACTGAACTAGCTTTAGACAAATAAACACCTAGAACACATTGACTTCGGCCAAATATACACCTACAATATATTGACTTTAGCCAAATAAACACCTAGAACACATTGACTTTAGCCAAATAAACACCTAGAACACATTGACTTTAGCCAAATAAACACCTAGAACACATTGACTTTGGCCAAATAAACACCAAGAACATATTGACTTTAGCCAAATAAACACCAAGAACATATTGACTTTGGCCAAATATACACCTAGAATATATTGACTTTGGCCAAATAAACACCTAGAACATATTGACTTAGCCAAATAAACACCTAGAACACATTGACTTTAGCTAAATAAACACCTAGAACACATTGACTTTGGCCAAATAAACACCAAGAACATATTGACTTTTGCCAAATAAACACCAAGAACATATTGACTTTGGCCAAATATACACCTAGAATATATTGACTTCGGCCAAATAAACACCTAGAACATATTGACTTTGGCCAAATAAACACCTAGAACATATTGACTTTAGCCAAATAAACACCTAGAACACAATGACTTTGGACAAATAAACACCTAGAACATATTGACTTTAGCCAAATAAACACCTAGAACACATTGACTTTGGCCAAATAAACACCTAGAACACATTGACTTTAGCCAAATAAACATCTAGAACATATTGGCCAACATAACATATTTGAAATAGAAATCCCAACCAATCATATCCATACACTGAACCAATCATAGTGATACACTCATACAATGTACATGTAACTGTATTTAAATGAGATAAACACTCTTGTATAACAAGTAATCTAGTTTTCTGATACAAAAACGGTAAACCGATGCCCCGCCACCAATACAGTTGTCGGCGTTTAACAACCTATTCTTCTATCAAAACTGACCCGAGAAAAATGCTAAATTACAACATTCACATATATACATATTGTTACAATGATAAAATTTGATTACATGATTTTCACATGCAATTCGGGATATAATGCGAGAACCGTTACGTAACGTTTCTTTAACATCATCATACAATTTTGTGCAAACTGTACAAACGTCATAGACATATTTATATCACAATAAATAGAATATACGGTTGTCACTACGTAAATACCACAAAGTACAACCAGCAACTATGTATCTATATTTTGACTTCATGAAGGGAAGGGGTGAAACTGACACTTGTATTGTTCAAACAGTGGCTCATCTTTGGAGGGGGGGTATCCTGCCCGTCAATATTTAGCCCTGCACGCAGCAGTGAATAGCGGGCATATTGATAAGCACTAAGGGTAAACAATGTATATTTCAACCTTTACTGCAAATATGTACATTGCAAAGAAATGAAATTTACATTAATAAGTACATTACTTTTCATGTTTGTTGTTCGTATGACAATTACGTTTTGTGTCCTGTGCGTATTGATTCAGCGGTGTCAGTACACCTGGATATCATTCTTAATTAGAAAAATTTTAATCATAATAAAATTTATTTTTCTAATTTCCATGCCCACGATGATTGTATTATAGCCATAATTCGGTTGTAAATTTCAAGTAATTGGAAACGGAATATTGGAAATAAAAACGAGAAAAGGTTTTGATGAATATCTTTATTAGGTCCGGCTCTAATCTTTATTGATCGATTTTATTTATTCTTTTGACGTGACAATGAAAAGAAATATTACTGGCATGAATATTCATTATTTACTCAATTTCCTAAGAACGATTAAATTTAATTCATTCAATTTTATTTTTAATGATGGATACAGGAATCTGTATTCATACATTTTTTCTAATTTGTTCATTGCCTTGTCATATAAAGTTTATTAATTATATGAATGTCAAGGTCACCCAATAACAAAAATGTAGGTGTTTTTTTCAGAATTGTTGGAAATGCAAATTCTGTTGCATGAATAAAATAATGTTTAAATGTCCCACAAATGAAAAAAACTCCATCCCCATCTATGCAATTTTATGCTCTCTGGATATGAAGCAAACAGTGGTGCCTGGAATAAAGCAAATGATGGGGGGGGGGGCAATATTTCTACCATCGTGTAAACGTCAAATAGTGAACCGCTGTAAAGTGACCATTGCAGAATGTTA